GGATGTCTTCCTGTGTGGCTGCTCTGGGTGATCTTGCTCTGGTGGGGAGGTGGGACTAGATGATCTCCAGAGGTCCCTTCCAACCCCAAACATTCTGTGATTCTGTGATCCCTCTTTAGAGCCTCCCTACCCTCAAGCAGATCGACACTTGCACTCAGCTTGGTGTCATCTGCAAATCATTGATGAAAATGTTAAACAGGAGCGACCCAAGTACTGAGCCCTGGGGGACACCACTCATGACTGGCCACCAACTGGATTTAACTCCATTGACCACAACACTTTGGACTCAGCCATCTAACCGAGCTTTTACCCAGCAAAGCCTATGTCCATCCAAGCCAGGAACAGTCAATTTCTCTGGGAGAATGCTGTGGGCAACAGTGTCAAATATCTTACCAAAGTCAGGGTAGACAACATCAACAGCCTTTCCTTCAGCCGGCCAGTGGGTCACCCTGTCGGGGAAGGCAATCGGGTTTGTTGAACAAGACCTGCCCTTCATAAACCCGTGCTGACTGAGCCTGATCACGTGGCTGTCCTGCATGTTCTGCATAATGGAACTCGGGATGATCTGCTCCATCAGCTTCCCCGGCACTGAAGTCAAACTGACAGGCCTGGGATTTCCTGGATCATCCTTCCATCCCTTCTTGCAGATGGGTGTTATATTGGATGACTTCCAATCAGCTGGGTCTGTCAACACTGAAATAGGATGTGCAGTTGTGTGTTTGCAAAAGTAAAGATTTTTTTTCCCTAACTGCTAATATTGTGTAATTTTTTTCAGGCATATTGATTGCACGTTAATGCAGAAGTTGCTTGAGGAAATCCACAATTCAAGTAAAGCACATTTGAATTAATGTATTTCACCATTATATTTTTCCAGCCTCGACAGACAGTTTTGACTGCAGCTGGAAGCATTGGGCAAGCAAGTGGGGAGCTACTGAGACAAATTGGAGAGAATGAAACAGATGAAAGGTTCCAGGTAATGAGGAGGTTGCTTCTCACTGTCAGAACTGAGCAGCTTTCTAATGAGGAGGCCACTGCATAAAACCAGGCTTCCTGAAATGCAGTTAGGAAGTGCTAGATTTGAAATTCCTCAGCGCTGATTGAGATTAATCCCATTATAAAATAATTTTTAATTACACAATCGCAGAGTGCTGATTTCGTAGGAACCCCTAGTTCATTCTGAGTAATGGCCATGTTTGCTGCTTTACACAAGGCAAAATATTTAAGTGTTGATACAGGAGAACTTGTTACCTTTTGGGAGACTTGATCTTAAAATAAAGAGAATATATACTGTTTCGTTCGTAAGCCTGAGTTTTCCCTTTATTTTACCAGGATGTTCTGATGAGTCTGGCCAAAGCTGTTGCAAACGCTGCTGCCATGTTAGTGCTGAAAGCCAAGAACGTAGCACAGGTCGCAGAGGATACGGTCCTGCAGAACAGGGTCATTGCTGCTGCTACACAGTGTGCGCTCTCTACTTCCCAGCTTGTGGCTTGTGCGAAGGTGAGCTGGTAGTGTCTGTGACGTTGCAACACGTCATTCTGAATGTGCTCCTCCGTGTATTTCCAGGGGTCTCAGGCAGCATCTTCTGTTAATGTCATGGCTCTAGCCTTATGCAGTATCAAAGTTGCTGATTAATAAATTGTCACCTGTAACAGTGGCCGTCAGGAGCCCAGAGGATGTGAGGTGTTGATGTAGAACCTTCAGAGAAGGTTCTGCAGATAACAGAACCCGTCTGATCAGTTGCTAATATTGTTAAAGTAATAAAATTAGTTCAAGAAGCACAGCTTGCCTGGGAAACTACATAAGTTTTCTAATAAAGCCTAGAATTAGAGTGGATTTGCCTCATCTAAAGCTAAATAATTAAAGGCTGATACTCTTCCTGAAAATAAAATCAAGTTAGTGATGGTTGATTTTAAATATATATGCGCTAATTTAGTGTAGCATGGTTGTTTTAATAGATACATTGCTTTTGGCTAAGTATGGAATTTCATTCTAAGCAAATTACAAAGGAATCTGCAACTGGAGCATTACATTTCCTGGAACCTTCTTTGTCTTAAAAATAAAAAAAATAAAATACTCATTTCATTTTAAAAATTGAACAGTTCACATTTCCTACTTGGATGAGGCATTTGAAGTATGCAGCGTCATGTTTTTTGCAGGGAAATGGGTATTCAACGGTTGTAAAACATCCAGAAGGTTTGTATTAAAATTAATAGCCAATATTAGGTGTTAAATTTTTGTTAGTTTTATGTTATTTCTTTGGCTGCCAGTGCTTTTTGTAATGCTTATATACAAATTTTCGATATTTGGACTTGGTGTTCTTACTGTTTGTGAATTTCTTCAATGTGGCATAAGACACCCAGTGGCATCTTGCTTTTCTCCTCAGACACGCGCTGTTTTCCCCTTGCTAAAAGCCATCTGGATATGCCTGAACAAAATGGGAGGGTTGGTTCTAATCTGCAGATTGTAGGGTTTATTGCTAGTCTTCAGAATTAAAATGTGAGATGTGAGTTAAAGATGAAAAGCTAATGTGGTAGATTTTTCACTTGTTAGTTGGGAGATTTGCGAATAAGCCTTTTGTGAATGGTCTGTGCAGGTTGTGAGTCCCACCATCAGCTCTCCGGTGTGTCAGGAGCAGCTGATTGAGGCGGGGAAGCTGGTGGACCGTTCCGTGGAGAACTGCGTGAGGGCCTGCCAGGCTGCGACAGACGACACGGAGTTACTGAAGCAGGTCAGTGCGGCTGCCAGCATTGTCAGCCAAGCCCTGAATGACCTCTTGCAGCACGTCCGACAGTTTGCCAGCAGGGGAGAGCCCATCGGACGCTATGACCAGGCTACGGATACCATCATGTGTGTCACAGAGAGTATTTTCAGTTCGATGGGAGATGCTGGTAAGTTTTTTTTAATGGACCGTAGCTTTCCACAACTTAGAGATGTGCATATTTCAAGTAATGCAAGTAAAAAAAAACCTCTGAAGTGTAGCGTGCTGCTAGGCTAGCGCTGGCCTTATGGCTAATCGTGAAACCTATAACATTAAATCAGCAAAATGCACATTGCTATGTGCTAGATAGAATGAATATCCATGAAAACATCAGTATCAGGACTGTTAAAGACCTCTAAAGGATCACTATACTATTTTGTCTGGTTTTTACCACTGCTTCACTTCACAGAATTGTGTAACAATTTCTCCAAAGAAAGGTAAGGTACCGGGGCAAATACTTCCCAGTGATTGATTTTATTATGCTTAGATTCTGTTGCAGGTTTTGAAACTTTTTCTTTCCCGTGACGTTTGTAAAATTTTCAGTTTCTACAACCAACCAAAACTTGAGATGTCTAGCATTTAACCAATCTAATATAAATTTTTATTAAAGAACCCATAAGTCACTTAGAATGGTGACATTTCAGTAGTCATAAATGTTATGAAGTAGCAACAGTTTTAAAATGCAGTTACCGTGCAAAGTATGGTTGTGGTCTTTCGTGTTGTAGAAATGCAAGACCAGGAAAGAAATATTTCAGTCACAGGTGTATTCCCATGAAAGTCAAAATGACCCAACTAATCTTTTTGTTGTAGAATAATCCTCGTTGTTGCATTTAAGAGGTAAAACTTTCAGGTGTTTATTTGTTTAAGGAACTATCATTTCAACCATGCAGCACTCTTCTAGAGGAATGTGTGCAAGGAAGTAATTAGGGAAATTCTCAGTGTATTTTGACCCTAGAGTCTTGTTTACAACAAATCTGAGTGATTAAACTTTTTAAAAGATGCACAAGAATGTTTGCTAAACCACTCTTAATCTTCACGTTGAAAGCGGGGGAAAAACTTTTCTGATGCTCTATAGATATCCTAAGGAATTTAATTGCTGTAGATGGGCACAGGAAAGCACATCAAATTTCAGATTTACCTGTCAGTTATGATTCAGCTTCTGTACAGAAAGATGCTGTAAAAGAAGTGATCTTGGATAGCATTCATTTTCTGTTCATGGTCAATCATCTTGTGCAATACTTGGCTTTCAGTAGAAGGCATTCAGATTCCAGCTTATTTCCAACTCATCGTTGCACTCCTGTGGTTGCAGTTTTAGCAGCAGTGGCTTCTGACTGCTGTGTTATTGCCTGATTGATTTACTGGCTTAATGCTTAAGAAAGGGGTTATAAAGGGATTTTTTTTTTTTTTCAAGTGGGATTTTTGGGCTGGGGGCTGAGTTAGCCCTTACTGGTAAAAATTTACCTTGCAAAGTTGTGTCCTGGGAAATGGTTTATAACAGCTGAGAAAACTTGATTTTTTTTTTTTTCTTTTTTTCTTCCTGACCAGAGTAGTCTGGTGAGAAGGCAATTAATTCTAAAGCCCACGAGTCACCTTTACACATGAGAAAAATGCTGCCTTAGCTTTTTTCCCATGATTTTAAGAGCATTTGAAAAGAATGAGGTCTAATACCCAGACACATCTTACTTGATTTGATAACCTACAGAAAGCCAAAGGTTTTATGTGCTGAAGTCTACTGTGAAGGAGTTCAAGTGTGTATGCTTTAGTGGCCGACTGAATTTCCTCTAGAAAGTGTATATATCCACTTCAGAAGCATTGCTTCACCATGACCAGAACATGACTCCAGTATCTCAAATACACACCTGATTTTTGGCCAAAACCATCTAATTGGTGCTGAGTCTCTTCTGACAGAGTTCTTAGTTAGACAAGATGATTCCCCAAAAGAAAAACAGGTGAAAGGTGAGTAATTTTTATTAAAGGACTGTTCAAGGAAAATTACTAGCCTTGACTGGGCCAGGAGTTTCCTTGAGTGGTATATTCTAAAGTGCCTTAAATGAGTGATTTGGGGTTTTTGTCTTGCTGTCTAGAATGCAAATACTACATTTTTTCTTAATCTCCACTGTAGTGGTTTCCTTCATTTATGTTGTTATCCAAGATTTTGTTTATGAAGCTTCTAAGTTATGAGCTATTTGTGCATCATTTTCAAGTCAAAAAATACTTGAGCAGATGTAGCTTTATTTTCATCTTGTTGAGATGACTTTTGAAACTCAGGGAGAAGAAGAGTAAAACTCCAGTTGTATACCACAGGTGAAATGGTACGACAGGCCAGGGTACTGGCTCAAGCCACTTCTGATCTTGTCAATGCCATGAGGTCGGATGCCGAAGCAGAAATCGATATGGACAACTCCAAGAAGCTTCTGGCTGCTGCCAAGCTCCTGGCAGATTCTACAGCCCGCATGGTTGAAGCTGCGAAGGTACCAGGAAAACAAACTAAGTGCCACCTTAAAACTGTGTGGTTGTGCATGAGGAAGAGATAAGATGTGGGATATTAGAGATAGGATCTGGCTCGTAGGAGAGATATTTTTTTCTTACCCTGTAAATGTTCTGCATTTAATATTCCAGGTGTGTTCAGGAAAAACAGCATGTTAGTTACCTGGGTGTTGGGCTGCTTTTGTTTTAAAACCTGTTGTGCACTGCTTTGCTCACCTGTGTGCAGGGTGGTCATGATTCAGGCTATCTAGGGCAGTTACCACTGTAATGTTAAGTCTTGTACCTGTCTGACAGTGCAAATGGAACAACAGCCCTGTAGCAATTCCTTACAAATATCTCTTACAAAAACCGTTACAAAACACTGCCTCTGTCTTGGGAAATTTTCTCTGCCTGGAGAATCTTGCCTATGTTGTTCCCTCCACACTCCCCTGATCTCAGAAAAGAGGCAAATATCTAACTTTTTCTTTCCTTTTTTGTACTAGAAACCTATGTAAGTCCACTAGGGAGGAATATGTTCTTTGAATTGTTTCCCGGATCTTGCACTTAAATGATTTTTCAGATCAAGACCAGCCATTCTGCTAGGGGTCTAGGAGGCCCGTATGCCTGGCTACAGGGCATATCCTAGACTTCCCAGTACTTCCTCAGACTTGAAATGGAGAAACCCCCACTGCGTTGAACCTCAAGGTCTGGACTGTAGTTAATGAAAGGTGTATTGAATGGGGGATTTTAAAGTTTTTCCCAAACCAGCTGTTATGAAACTATATTACTACAGGTCATCATGGAAGCAGTTTGCAAAGGCTTTTTTTCCAAGCACCTGAAGTAGTATATGAAGCAAATGTTCAACTCCCTTCCTCAAAGTACCAAACCTAGACAGTAGCAAGCTTGCACTAGCAATAGTTTTCCACTGCAGAGTCTTGTAACTTTGGTTAAGATAATGTAAGGAAAATCAAGGCTGATCTAATAGACACTGTCTGAATCTAAAGCCTTGATTTTCATCTACTTTTTCTTCAGGAATTTTTACTGAAGCTTATGGGTTTTTTTCTCTGGAATTTTGTGCAGGGAGCTGCAGCCAATCCTGAAAATGAGGATCAACAGCAGCGCTTGAGAGAAGCAGCAGAGGGACTGCGGGTCGCTACAAACGCTGCTGCACAGAATGCCATCAAGAAGAAAATTGTCAACAGATTAGAGGTGGGAAACCAGATATTGTGGAACTTTCAATTTACTGTCTTTTGGTAAAGAGTATCTGTAGCTAATTGCAAGCGAGTAGAAATGCATATATCAGGAAGTGCTAAGCATGGAATGATAATGCTGTAAGCTCAGTTTCAGAGTGCAAGGCTTGGCATTAGAAGTGCTAATATGTGATACCATAGTCCTCAGAAAGTTGAGCTACTTGTGTCACTTATATAGTAAGTTGGGGTAAGAATTTGACTTTGGTGACTTAGTCATAAAATCAGAGCAGCTGAGGTTTCAAACAGCTGAGCTGAAACTACTTCGTTGCTATTTGAATTTATCTGTATGATCCACACGCAGTATCTTTTGGTGGTTTTACTAGTAATATCTGCCAGAGCTTCATGTAATTTTCCATACAAAGATCTATTGAATTGCAGTAGATCCAATTAAACTGGCAAGGTATTCAGAGAATCAAAGAAGCAGAAACAGAAGTGAATAAGATACGTTGCATCTGGTAGCACAGCCAAGGGGAGAGCGAAGCAGTCTACTGTGCGCTGGGGATAAAATACCTCCGGCAAGGTTTGATCTTCCCATTCTCAACGAGAATGTAAAGACAAATTAAAAAAAGAAGCCTTTTGTAATTCGTAGTTTCTAACTGTGGTTTTACAGTAGTCTGATTCAAATGCTATGAGGTTAGACGAGCAAGGATTTCTAAGTAGACAACCATGTTCCAGAAGTGCATGTAGATTGTTGTATCCAGCTAGAACCAAGTCAGCAATATTTTGGGAAATAAAGGCTGGTGTCTCAATTTTCCAAATGCATGCAAGAAAACTTTGTGGAAAGCACGCTTTATTTGTTTTGCTGTTATATGTGTATAGCTGCCTTACAAAGGTGTGAGATGTGTAATGATGAGAATGAACTTCATGCTTGGTTGTATTTAGTCGGCCAGGTAAAAAAGAGTATTGTACAACATATTGGAATACCTTGGATAAATAGCTGAATTTTTTTGTTTTGTATTAAAGAGAGGTTGATAACAACACTCCTAGATACTTGAAAAAAGTCTTCTTGGTGCTTTTAGACTCTGTAACACCAGTATCTTGTTTCTCTACATTGTTTTGGTATCTTTGCTTTAGCCATAGAGCAATCTCAGCAGAAGCTGGCTCCCTTGAGTCAGAGGTGTTAATGAAGCTGTGTGAAGTGCGCTTTGCCTGCACTCTCTGGCTTTCTTAGTAAGGAGCTAATTCCTGCTCTCTGTCATTGACTTCTTTTGGTCGTGTTGCAATCTAAGCCATGAAGGAGTAAGAGCTTAGAATCCTTCTAGTTGCTTCTTTTTTCTTTATTAACAGGTTAGAGGTGAATAAGTGTTCAGCCCATTTTCATCTTGAGAGAAGAGCAATCCTGAGTTTGCTCAAGATAAATCAAATTAGGGGATATAATGTATTAATCTATCAAAGTTCTTACTGTCAAAGCTACCTATAACATGTATTTCATTCTCTGAATTACTCAGCCTTTTACTACTGATTTAACTTTATTTTTTCTGAAGATTGCAGCTAAACAAGCTGCTGCTGCTGCTACTCAGACTATTGCAGCTTCTCAGAACGCGGCTGTTTCAAATAAGAACACAGCAGCCCACCAGCAACTTGTGCAGAGCTGTAAGGTAAACATGTTACAACTGACTGACATCGTGAACTTTGCTTTGTGGGGACGTGAATGTCACTTTCTGTAATAATAATGTTGCAAACTCAAAAGGAGATTTAAAAAAAACCAAACAAAACAGGAAACAAAAAAAACACAGAAAAAATGGGGAAAAAAAATGCACCAAAACCACACCTGAACACAAGCATGACATCGTGAACTTTGCTTTGTGGGGACGTGAATGTCACTTTCTGTAATAATAATGTTGCAAACTCAAATGGAGAGAAAGAAAACAACAAAAAAACCCAACAAATAAAAAAAAACCAGAAAAAATGGGAAAAAAATGCACCAAAACCACACCCGGACACAAGCAACATCTGTATGGATTCCGGAGAACCCTCATTTATTGTGTTAGCTGTAGTTTCCATGCATTACTGTATGGGGAGCTTTGAAAAGCTGAGCTACTCTTACTTGGCTGTTACAAATATCCTTCCAAACACCTTACTAGAGAGGATTGACAGGCTTACATACCTCAGCATAGATATGTTGAGTAACAATCAGTTTACCTGAAGCAAGTGCTAGGAGCAAAAGTTTTGCTGCAGGTCAGTTGGCAGTACTGTCTCTGCAAAGCTGTGCTAGAAGCACTGTGCGGAGGGGTCCAGTTGCTCAGAAATTTGTATGCTGCCGAGAGGTCCTGGCCATGTGTTCAGCACCCAAGTGTGCTCTCCAGCGAGTAAGGAGCTCTGGGATCATCAGAACAGGCTGCTGAATGATACGTGCAGGGAAGTGGGGCTGAGGTCTGCCTTGGAATAGAGATAACCTTGGAATTTTCCACAGTGAAGGATGGAGTAGCAACAGTGATTTATTATGCTGTAATGGAGTGAAATCCTTATTTATTGTCTTGATTGTATAATTGGTTATATAACTAATAGCACCAAGAAGGATGGAGTAGCAACAGTGATTTATTATGGAGTGAAATCCTTATTTAACGTCTTGATTGTATAATTGGTTATGTAATTAATAGCACCAGTCCTACTATTTGCATGTTCAGCCTACAAGCAACCTGGGACCTTAAATGTCCCTATATATTTGCATGTTCAGCCTACAAGCAACCTGGGGCCTTAAATGTCCCTGTGAAAAATAAGTTACAGACCTTACTATGGGGTTAACACAATTCCTAGCTTGTAGAGCAGAGATTTCAAGGTATGCTTGAAGTCAAGCACACTTTTATAGTTTTAAGCTAGAATCCTAGCTTGTAGAGCAGAGATTTCAAGGTATGCCTGAAGTCAAGCACACTTTTATAGTTTTAACCTAGAATTTAGAGTCTGTTTTATGTGTAAACCACATTTGGCAGCTTAATTTCTAGCTCTTGCTAGTGTTACTTGAGGATTTTTTAACATCTAAACAAGAAATTGAACGAGATGATAGAACGTGAAAGGGTTTTCTTCTGGGTGGAAGAGCAGTTATGTGGGGAACAAGAACAAAACCACTAAAGAAGACATCATTAGAAGCCATATTAACATTCAGCAGTGATTTTTTGTGGTGGTGGTAATTTTAAGAAATTTTAGAATTAAATGAGGTAGCTCAAGTACGATTGTGTAATAGACAGCTGCTATGTCAGTATGAAAAAAAGCTAAGTGTTTCACTGTATTGCTTAGAGTTCAGATAGAGAAGATCCAATACCTAATTTTTACTCTTTTTTGGGGGGTGGGATATCGGTATTGCATTGCTGAACTAAGTGTCACTGTGAAATGGATGGACAAGGAGCATGAATCTGGGCAGGCCAGGAATGAAATTTTAGCTGTACACACTTCAGGATGCTCCAGCCATAGTATGAAATTATTGTTAGAAGTCAAGAAAAAGTAGGCAGAAATGCTTCTGTGTAAAAGACAATGTTTTTCTGGAAGGAAGACATTCTCTTGAAAAATCTTTTACCTCCACTACTGGCATTTGAAACATGCGAAGGAAGTAATTCAAAATACTTTGTATACATAATTTTGCAGAAAAATCTTAGATTGTCTTGCAGGATCTTTAAACTAATGAGTAGCTTGAATAAAGATTTCAAAAGTAAAAGCAGAACATCTCTGAGAAATCCTGTTGTGTATTACTTCAGTTCCATGGAATCCTAAACAGATTCTGTGAGGCACAAGTGTCTTTATTGTACCTGTGAATACTACAGGTTGTCTTTAAAGGGGGGTGGTGAAGAGGGTTTTGTCTATTGTCAGAGTTTGGAGTTGTTATTTATCTACTAAAATTTTTCTTTTTGTTTATTACAGAATGTTGCAGACCACATTCCTCAATTGGTACAGGGTGTAAGAGGAAGTCAAGCTCAGGCAGAAGACCTCAGTGCCCAGCTTGCTCTAATAAATTCCAGCCAGAACTTCCTTCAGGTGAAGCGAATCAATCACTGTAGTAGATTACCTCAGAGCAAAAAAGCATTTTTTAGTGCTGTATGTTTTCGTTTGTGACAAATAAGCAGTAAACTTAAGAACCATGTAAAGAAACTCATCACTGACTGGGAGCCATAGCTACAGAGAGCTTAGTTCCTCAGGTCTGGTGGCCTGAGGTATGCTGAATCTGTAGAGAGTGAAAACTGCCAAAATTAAGGGTGAAAGTAACAAGAAAACTGAAGTATATGGAAAAGAAACATTCATTGCTGTAGCATTTGCCTTC